ACACACACATATATATATATATATATATATATATATATATATATATATATATATATATATATATATATATATATATATATATATATATATATATATATATATATATATGTAACTTGATGACAAAAACAGAAATTCCCATAAGTTAAATTTCTCCCGTAACTAAGGCTGTTGGAATGTATTTAACTCACTCACTTAACTTTACAACATGAAGATAAATTGTAAATGGTTCTTAAGTTAAATTTTCCCCCAGCTAGAGATATGGGATGCTCAGCTGGCTCGGGAAGTTACAGCTGGTCAGGGGAGGTGGCCGAGTCTATCTATCTATCTATCAAATTATGGAACCCTCTCTATAAACACATATAACCACAACTGAACGTGAATCTGTAATAATAATAATAATAATAATAATAATAATAGTAATAATAATCCCTACAACAGCTGTCCGCCACAGTTAATAATGGAAAGTCTTTCAAAAAGTAATCCCCCCTCCCCGTCCCCCCTCCCTGTCCCCCCACCTCCCCCGCCCTCCCCCCCCCTGTCCCCCTCCCTCCCTCGTCCCTCCATTTTCCTGTCCTCCTCCTCCCTGTCCCCCGCCCTCCCTCCCCCCAGTCTCCCTCCCTCCTCATTAATTTTTCTCTCTCCTCTTCTTCAGGCTTTTGTTCCTGGAGAAGCACAAGCCCCTGGTCGATTACCGCCGCCGGCTACACCACAATAGTTCCGCCTCATAAAACACGCAGGAGAGAGAGAGAGAGAGAGAGAGAGAGAGAGTGGTGAGGTGAGGAGGAAGGAAAAAAGTGAGCGAGGTGGACAATGGCGGGGAGGCAGAACACGGCCACTAACATGAACTGCTGGGCTATATCGCTGTGTCTCCCCTCCCCCCCCTGTTACCTTCCTCCCGCCTGTCTGTAAGTCACTCCTCCCGTCCGTCAGTCTGTCAGTTTATCAGTCAGTCAGTCAGTCAGTCAGTCAGTCAGTCCTCCCGTCAGTCAGTCAGTAAGGTTGACTACACTGTTTGCTCCATATATTACGGACTGATGTTTATAACACTACTGTCGTCATCTATTGAGTCGACGACAATTAGCAGCAAAATCTTTTCCTTTTTTTTAGTTAATTAATTACACCCAGCAGCCACCAACCCACCACAAGCCACCAACCCACCAACAGCCACCAACCCACCAGCAGCCACCAACCCACCAGCAGCCACCAACCCAACTTGAGGTACAACAACAAACCCCTCAATTAGCACCCATCAAAGTGTACAATAGGCGGCGTAAATAGCGACACCCGACAACCTGTGATCAGTGACTCTCCTTGTGGCAGATCCCTGATAGTGGGGCAGTCGAAGGGTATTAGACATGGGATCTATACACAGTTTACGGGGAGGAAAATGCGGCACCTCCTCCGGCTCAGAGACTTACCGGATGCGTCGACGATACTTATATGAGTAATAAAGACAATTTGTCGTCCTCTGGGAGTAATTAATTAACTAGAAATAAATGATAGCTAGAACATCTTACAACGCCATCAATAAACTGAAATTTACAAATGTCTAGTAACGCCAATTGAGTGATAGCACCGTCTACTCACCTGATTCCTATTAAGAGTTTTCATTGAACTTTGACCTTTACGTCTTTCAAGGTCATGTAAATTTTTCTTCGGCCAGTGACCAACACACTCGCCAAGTTTCATCGACATCGGCACAATCGTTTTAGTGTCCTCGGCAGTCACTACTCTGTCTTAGAACCGATAACTCTTTACCCGATCGTCTAGAGACCAACACTGGGACGAGTTTCACTGAGATCGGTAAACCTGTTAATGTGTGTGTGTGTGTGTGTGTGTGTGTGTGTGTGTCTGTGTGTGTGTGTGTGGAGATGAGGACAGTACGAGGGAGTGGAGGCAGGGAAGGAGGGAGAGAGGGAGGGAGGGAGGGAGGGAGGGAGGGAGGGAGGGTCGTGCTCCCTAGTGAAGAGGCTAATAACTCTCACTTGTCAACCTTCCTCCTTCTCCTCCCTCCTTCTCCTCCCTCCTTCCCTCCACCACCCGTCCTTCACTCCAGCCATCCGATTCTCCCCACCATCCCTTCAACACCATAACCTCCCTCCTATCCCGTCCCATCCCTCTTCCTTCACCACCCTCATCCTCCTTTATCAGTGGCCTCTCAATTTTGTCCTTCCATGTTAGCTGTAAAGTCCACACCTGCGTACAGCAATTACATTATTCTCCTTTGCAACGAGTAGGATAATTCTAAACTTTTGATTGGCTGATGCTCATGACGTCACATTAATGGAACACTCTAATTGGTTGGTTTTACATGACGCCATCATTGTGGAACCCCCTGATTGGTTTACTTCCATGACGTCGAAATCAGGGAATTCTGCAATTGGTTTATTTACATAACGTCATAATCGTGTGACGTTCTTACTGGTCAATTTACATAAGGGAAACCCGTTGATAGGTTGATTTACATAACATCATCACGGGAGTTCATAAAGGTTGATTCATATGACATCACTTTAGTTCTACGTGCTGATTGGGTGATTTGCATGACCTTAATTTTGAAATTATCTAATAAACAGATATACGTGACGTCATTACCGGGGAAGGGCTCTAATTAGTTGATTGTATATGACGTCACAGCAACACAACACTTGGAGGAGGCTTGGAGGAGATGAGCCTCCCCCACACAACCATAATTGATATGATCCGATTACACCTACACACCTTTCCTCCCTCCCTCCTCCCTCCTTTCCCTTCCTTCCTCTCCCTCACTCTTCCTCCCTCCTTTCTCCTCTTTCTGCATCCTCATCCTCCCTCGCCTCCTCCTCTCTCATCCTCTCGCCTCCTCCATCTCCACCCCCCTAGTTTACTGCTGCTTATAATTTCTTCATCTCCCCATTTCAAAACCTGGCGATGGCAACTTTTCCTCTTAATTAGGAGTTGATAGTGAGGGGGGAGAGACCAGGTAGGAGGGCTGGGGGGAGAGGTGAGGGGTGAGATGTCTACCAGCCTCTACCTACCACAACCACGTTCACCACAACTACCACCATCGCTCACCCTTTCTTCTCCAGTGATTCACCACCATACATCTATCACCCAATTTTCTTCTTATCCTTTATATAAAAAAGATAACTATAACGAGTCCTCAAAAATATACCTCAAAAAAATCCCAAAATAGGTTCAAAATTTTTAATAACCTGTTTAAATAGGGTGAAATAAAATAGGGATCATCAGGGTCGAATTTCAGTGGTGCTCTGAAGGGAAATAGGAAGAGGCAACACGGGGGACGACAGAGCCACCAGCAGCAAGAGCCGACCTGAGAGAGACCAATTACCTCTAAAGGCTTTCAAACAATCACGACTAAACTTTCTGCAACTTATGAATTAAAATTTTGAGGCGAGGATCGTCAGTGAACGTTTGGGCGTGGAGGAACGGCAGAGGAGGAGGAGGAGGAGGGAGGGGTGGGATTGGAGAGGAGGAGGAGGAGGAGGGAGGAGGAGGGAGGAGGAGGGGGAGGGGGTTGGGAGGGAGGGAGGAGGAGGAGGAGGAGGAGGAGGAGGAGGTGGTGGTGGGATGGAGGAGGAGGAGGAGGAGGAGGAGGAGGAGAGGAAGGAGGGAGGTTGGAGGAGGAGGAGGAGGAGGGGAGGAGGGAGGAGGAGGAGGAAAAGAGGGATTTGGAGGAGGAGGAGGAGGAGGTGGGGATTGGAGGAAGAGGAAGAGAAGAAAGAAGAGGAGAAGGGGGAGAAGGAGGAGAATGAAGAAGAGCAGTAGGAGGAGAAGGAGGAGAAGGCGGGAATTTGGAGGAGGAGGAGGAGGAGGAAAAGGAGGAAGATAAGAAAGAGCAGGAGGAAGAGGAGGAGGAAAAGTAGGAGGAGATTTGAAGGAAGGTGAGAAACAACAGTGTAGAGAAGACGTTCAAACTCACCTGTTCATTAAGTGACCGTGAGTATTGATGAACGTGTAAGAGGCGAGCACGTTCAAGCAATCATTTGTAGGAAACTGAGATGCAATTGGTTACGTTAGGTTTAGGTTAGGTTAGATTTTGGTTAGGTTAGGTTAGAGTGTTTGGGGACGGATATTAAGAAACAGGAAACATAAAAAAGAATAAATGGGAAAAGGACAGTGAGAGGTAATGGGTGTGTGTGTGTGTGTGTGTGTGTGTGTGTGTGTGTGTGTGTGTGTGTGTGTACGACTTTGTTACATCAATCGAGAGGGTGAAGGGTGAAGCCAAGATGCAGAGGAGGACAAAGAGTGAGAGAGAGAGAAGAGAGAGGGGGGAGGAGAGGAAGGGAGGGCTCTTTTTATCAGTGTGTTGAACGCCGAGGTATTGAGCAACAGCCAATAGCGAAGATGATCAGTTGTAAGCCCTCAGTCTCTTCAGTGATACACATAATATTGAAGAAAGAGAAGGTGTGAGAGCAAGGTTAAGTAAGGTTAAATAAGGTTAGGTTAGGTTAGGTTAGGTTAGGTTAGGTTAGGTTAGGTTAGGTTAGGTTAGGCAGTATAATCATCGGGTGAAATAAGTTTAAAGGTCAAAATTTTAAGGTAATTCAAAAAATCTCTCAATCAGTCAGTCAGTTAATATGCGTCAGTAAAACAAACATAAGTCAGTCAATCAGGAAAAAAATATTCACTAGACTGACTTAAGTAGGAACAAGATAAACCAGTACAATATAAACACAGGTGATACTTATAATAACACTAAACAAAGGAGTGTGTGTGTGTGTGTGTGTGTGTGTGTGTGTGTGTGTGTGTGTGTGTGTGTGTGTGTGTGTGTGTGTGTGTGTGTGTTTCTACATCAAGGAAAAAAATCAGAGGTCATGATAATTTTAAAACTCTAATAAAACTTACTAATTGACATGACCACCTGACATGACCACAATGACATGACCACCTGACATGACCACCTGACATGACCACCTGACATGACCACCTGACATGACCCCTTAACCATAAACAAACATCCTAACAACAGGAACCCCCAGAAGAGGTTGCCAACTCACCCGACATTCTTGGAGTTGTTGACCTTGGAGGCTTCCAGCTCAAACTCCTCATACTCGAGACGGCTGCAGGGAGAAGAGAGGTGTGTTAGTACCTGGCGGGACGTGTGATGGGTTATGGTGCAATGATATATTGATACAGTTACAGGTTGTGGTACAATTACAGGTACAGGTGTAGTTACAGGTACAGGTGTAGGCACAGGTACAATTACAGGTACAGGCGTAGTTACAGGTACCGGTACAATTACAGGTATAGATACAATTACAGGTACAGGTGTAGTTACAGGTACCGGTACAATTACAGGTACAGGTGTAAGTGGTACAATTACAGGTACAGATACAATTACAGGTACAGGTGTAGTTACAGGTACCGGTACAAGTACAGGTACACAGGAAATCATGTACAGTGCAGTACAATTACAGGTACAGGTGTAGTTACAGGTACTGGTACAATTACAGGTACAGGTACAATTACAGGTACAGGTGTAGTTACAGGAGGTGTGGTAGGATACAGGTACAATTACAGGTACAGGTGTAGTAGGTACTGACAGGAGAGGACAATTACAGGTACAGGTGTAGTTACAGGTACGGTACAGGTGTAGTTACAGGTACCGGTACAATTACAGGTATAGGTATAATTACAGGTACATATACAGGTACAGGTATACACATCCCTAAAGGACACACAACCCTAAAAGACGCGTAGCCCTAAAAAGATAAATAACCCTAACAAACACACGACATGAGGAGGGCCCTTGACTGGCCAAGACTCAGGGCAGAGGGCCACCTAGAGCCATATGTCCGCCAAGGGCCACTTAAGATATAATTGAGGGGAAGCTGGTGGTCTGGGGAGTGACGCTTATTATAATTAATCCCTAAGTACTCTATAGCACACACACACACACACACACACACACACACACACACACACACACACACACACTTAAGCTGTCATTCTCACAACAGTAATCTGTAACTCTAGACAGTAGCGACGTAAACTATTGATTATGGAGCTCCTCTCAGATCTCCTTGTAGCAGATCTTTCACCAAGTTTGATTAAAAACAGATATTATTTTTTTCTTCACGTTCTCATGATGACAACCCCCCTGATAGACGCACGGACGGATGCGAGAAAAATACAATCCTATATTCCTCTCTTGGGGCGACGCGGGACGAACAGTTATTAAAGCATTGATAAACAGACAAACAGACAGACACACATACAAGCCTCACACAGCTCTATGTCGGTAAGAAACAATTCGGCTCAAATCTGAAGCTTAACTACGATCGTTAGTGACCTTTGACCTTAAACTCTGATCTTCACAATTCAGACATTACACACGGGTGACCTCTCTCCATTAGTACCCAGGTCTCCTCTGCCATAACTCATACAGGAAATGGAGGAATGTCACCCCCAACCTCCCACCCCCACTAGATCACCCTCCCTCCCTATTTCAACCTCTCACCCCCACCTATGGCCCACTTTTCCTCCTACCTCCTACCCCCCACAATCCCTTCATCCCTTCCTATCCCCATTCTATTTTACCCTGTAGCCCTTCCCCCCCTCCCTACCATCATCCTCCCTCACTTCCCATCACGCAGGAGGAGTAACACAAGTGAACGTCCTGTCACCACCAATATCTTAGTGCTTCTTCCTCAACCTTCCCTCCCCCATCTACCCTAGCCTCCACCCCTGACCACACCCTCCCTCCACCCCTCGACCATACCCCCTCCTCCACCCCACACCACACCCCCCTCCACCACACCTCCTTCTCCCTCCACCCCCACCAAGTGACTCAAATAACGACTGGCCTTCATTACCGACTGTCAAGCGTAGACTGTCAAGTTGTCAAGTATGAACTGTCAGCCGAACTGTCAGGGGATAGAGAGCCTTGAAAGGAGAGGGGGAAACAGGGGGCAAGGAGGGGGTGAGGTAGGGAAGTCACGGGGGTAGTAGAGAGAGGGGGAAGAGGGGGAGAGGGAGGGGGATGGTCCGGGCATCATTATCGACCGCCATTGTTCCTTCTTGACATTGTGGCTTACCTCTGTCTTGCCCCAATCCCGCGACGCAAGGGAAGGAAGAGGGGAGGGGGAGGGTGTGATGGGAAAGGGAGGGAGGGATGATGGGTGGAAGAGGGGAAAAGTGATAGTGGAACATTGGAGAGGTGATGGTGGTGGAGTGGAAGGGTCAGGGTGGGAGAAGGAATGATGAAGGGGGGAATAATGGAGAAGGGGAGAAGTGATGAGAAAAGATAGTGGTAATGGAGCCAAAGTAGAGAGTTGGTGAAGGAGAAGTTGTTACTGGAGAGAGAGAGAGAGAGAGAGTAGATGAATGCATGTGGGAGAGAGAGGAGGATTGGGGGAGTAGGGTGAGGGGTGATGTGATAAGAGAGAGGGAGTGTCTTATTTAGTAGTAGTAGTAGTAGTAGTAGTAGTAGTAGTATATATATTTAAATTAAGCAAATATTTCAAACATATTCGCCTCAGTTAGCAGATAAAAGTAGAATCTTATTTCCTCGTCGTTTTTTGTGGAAATCACTGAAGTAAAAACGAGTAAAAATACAGAACCTCAAATAAAGCGGAAGAATCGGTTGATATCTTTAAAATATAAGAGAATTTTTCATGACAAATTCAGCGAAATGTATATATGTATGGATATTTTTATTAATAGACTGCGAATAACATAGTGAACGATATATTTAGATATATTTCAGGATATATCGTTCGTTAAGAGTAGGTTTGTGTGTGTGTGTGTGTGTGTGTGTGTGTGTGTGTGTGTGTGCAGTCACATAAATCAAGGTCACGTAGCGTCAACACCGTCAGTAGTACAGTTCAGGTTATACATTGTGCCTCCCCCAAGTGGCTTAATTCCGCTTGTGTTATGGTGGACTGGGAATGGGAATGGCTGTGGTTGGAATGGTTGGTTGGAACGCCCACTGCTACTAGAGTCGCCTGCGGGAATGGTAGTGTGTATTGTGGTGGAGGAGATTGTGGGGGATTGATTGTGGTGGGAGGAATTGTGTAAGAATGAACACACACACACACATACACACACACACAGTAAATAGACCATACGTTAATTCAGTAATCTAGATGTAAATTGCTTAATAGCGTGTGTTAACTACCCAGTAGCCGCTAACCATTAAACTGCCAATCAGAGCGTAGAACTTGTGGATAGATAACCACACACACACACACACTATAATCTCTCACCCCCCCCACACCACCTCCTGCGTCATCCCTCTCCCACAACCCCTCTTCCTCACCTCCACCTCCTCCCACTTCACCTCCTTCTTCATTTCCCTCCCTCCCCCTCCCCCTCCTCCTCTCCTTTTTTTTTTCTCCTCACCTCCACCTCCTCCCACTTCACCTCCTCTTCATTTCCCTCCCTTACATCCCACCTCCCTCACCTACACCTCCCATCACCTAGAACCTCCTCACCTCCCTTGCCTCACCCCCCCCGTGACTGCAATATGTGAGGAGAGAGTGTTGACTCAGCCACGTAGACTTCACTCTACTCTTATTAACTCCCCTCAACCTACTCTTGCTCCTCTTTTCTATCCCCCTCTATTTTCCCTCTCTCACTTTATATGCCCTCTTCCTTTTTCTCTATCCCCTCTTCTTCCCCTTTCTCCCCCCCTCTCTAAATGTCACCTGTCCCCTCTCTTTCTTGTTTCTCTCTACCTCTTCATTTTGCCCTCTCCCCCACTTCAGTCATCATACTCTTCCTAGACACACACACACACACACACACACACACACACACACATACACACACACACAGATTTTCCACAAAACTAAAACAAGAAAAACAAACAAAGTATTGATTATCTCCGTGATTTATGATGAAAAAAGTTGATTGTCGAAAAGTTGAAAACATTGAGTGAGTGCGTGAGTGAGAGTAGAGTGCGTGAGTGAGGGTAGAGTGTGAGTGAGGGTGTTACATCAAAAGGTTGTTGGATAGATATTATGACCAGATAACAGGGTGGGGGTGAGGGGGGTACTCTTTGATGTCTGTTTGTATTGTTGAGTGACGTATTGATGTGTGTGTGTGTGTGTGTGTGTGTGTGTGTGTGGTGTGTGTGTGTGTGTGTGTGTGTGTGTGTGTAAGTCAAGGATGGATGGAAAATACAGACATTAAGCCATACTCAGAAGTTGTTCGCCATACACACACACACACACACACACACACACACACACACCACACACACACACACATACACATACCGGACACTCTCCAAGTAACCACACTTACCAACACATTCCTACTCTCCCACTCTCTCCCACGTACACTCCTACACTCCCATACAGTCTCCCTTACACACACACACACACACACACACACATCTTTGTTTTCCGTCCGTAAATCACGGAGACACTACCAACTTGACTCTCTCCTCCTCTCTCTCTCTCTCTCATTTTGGAGTGTTTTCTGTTGGTATTCGTAATTTCTTTTTAGGGAGGGAGGAGGAGGAGGAGGAGGAGGTGGGGGGAGCGGAGGGGGAGGGGAGAGAGAGATGGAATATTTGTCAAAAATAGTGTTTCTTTCTCAAGGTGTTTCAGGTTAAGTAAGATTTAACCCAAAACTTAAATGGTAAAATATAACTTAACCAAAAATTAAACTAAGGGGAAAAAATAAAATACAAATTACTGTAAATATCTTAATTCAAGGAGAGAAATTACCACATTAGACCTAATAGTAATTCCAACTCGAACGCTGATTTTTTTGTTTCATTGTTGACACACAGTACAACATTCACGCATGCGCACAGTAACAGGTTGACAGAGAGCTAACAGCCAAAACAAACCACAAATATAATTACCTTCACTTTCAACCAATTAGTGCCAATTATGAGATTATATTTATGACTATAAGGTCGTAAAATAACCCGACAGTACCGTACGGTTTTGTTTTGTTTATATTTGGGAACACGAATGAGCCGTGACGTCATGAGTCAGCTCTTCGTATGGGGAAGAAACTATAGTGGCATTATAAAGATCCGACCTCCTCTTGTTCCTACTACTACTGCTACTACTACTACTACTACTACTACTACTACTACTTC